GGTAGGTCGATAGCCTCACTGAGGCTGGACCGGTACTTTTGTACCGGTGGGCAGAGGTCGGCCTCTATGCTGCGAGGCCTGACCGTGCCCTGAACCGTCCATCTGCCCCAACCGGCGGGCGGCAGCCTCAAGAGCGCCGCCAGGCCCAAAAGGTAATATCGTTTGGGCCGGCCCGTCGGGTCTGGTCCAAGGTAAGGCCTTTAGGCCCAGTAGTACCCCAAAGGTCGGGCCTTTGGCCCTACTGTGTCCCTCTACCCCTATGTCGGGTCCGGTAGGACCCGTGTGGCGTCGAAGATGTAACATGCTGTGTCTCACCTGTGGTGGAGCGCCACATCAGAGGGAGGAGGGAGGACGAAGGAGCACCAAGTCAGAGGGAGGAGGGAGAAGCGCCACGTCAGTGGAGGGAGAGAGGACGGAGGAGCACCACGTCAGAGGAGGGAGGGAGAAGGGAGGAGGGAGGGGGCGAGGTGATGGAGGGGGTGCGAGGAGGGAGGAGTGCCATGTCAGAGGAGGGAGGAGGGAGGCGAAGAAGAAGAAGAAAAAGAAGAAACACATGAAGAGAAAAAGAAAAAGAAGAAAGAAGAAGAAGAAGAAACGAAAGAGAAGCCCAGGATTCAAGTTTGAATCCTGGATCAGTGCACGCTGTCAAGTGATGCATATCGACAGCCAAAATCTAAAAAAAAAAGCCCTACAAAATGGGGCCTACCGGACCCCCCAAAAAAACGCGCTGACCGCCAAAAGAGAAGTTGGCACGTTCGGAATAGGGCGGCAGTGCATTTTTTTTTTTTTTGAGGCTTTTCTGCCTCGGTGCGAGAGGCGCCCGGGTGCCTGCTCGGGGGGGATCGCCTGGCCGGCGCCCTGGGCGCCATTCTGGGCACGGTGGGGTACCCCACGCGCCCGGGCTGAAAGCTAGGTACCCTTGCAACTTCTGTGAGATTCGGACCACCATTGTTGATGTATTACCCATCATTATCCACTCTTATCATGATTGTCATTTCGCTTGTGATCCTCTTTTCCATTGTTATCATTGTCACATTTGTTGCTGCCTTCCCCCTTGTCACTCGCAACTTTCATCATTATACTGCATTTTTCCCGTCCACCTAGTTATCTATAACCTTTACGTTGAAGTTTACGAACATCGTTCTATTTTTTTGATGAGACACCAGGAGACACTTTTTGGGCCAGAGAAGAAAGTGGTGGGCGCATGCTTTTCTTAGCAGAGGTGGCAACTGGGCGCCCACAGCCACAGCCACCTGCCGCAACCTGCCCACAAGGTGATGGGGGCCGGGCTTGGGTCTACCGATGCTTTCCTGGGTGGGCGACGGGCGTGTGCACGTAGTGCACGGGTCTGTGTCATGGGCGGGTCAATTTTTGCTCTGGGTCACCCGATGGGCAGGTGATAGTGAGGTCCATATTTTGTCTGGGTCACCCGACCCACAGACCCACGACCACTCGAAAAAATGTGCCGCCTCCCCCCACGCTCCCCAATTGCAAAAAATAAGAAGGACATGGGCTAGCCTGTCCAGCGTGCAGGCCTGAGGTTGCTACAATAGAAAACACGAGCCTGTGTACAGTCGCTGTGGGCACCCACGGAAATAGTATGTGTTGGTCCCTTTAGACCCAACAATAAGTTGGTGAGGGACGTGATGACGGAGAAATTGCCTTCGGAAGATCTGCATGTAGTCGCTGCTTTGCTTGATCCCTGTCAGAAGGACAGGTTGGAGATTTTCGATGTCCCGTTCACGCAAGTTAGATGAGGCAACGACCTTTTGAAGACAATCATGCAAAACGTCGCTGAGGGCGTTGATGATGATGTAGAGTTGTTGGCAGTGGAGGCTGCGAAAGAACATCCTTCAAAAAGAAGGGGGGCAACACCGGGGCTGTGCAGTTCTGATGAGAAGGACGAAGGAATGTCGGGAAGGACTGCAACAGTGGTGCTGACCGTGACCGAAACAATTCAAAAAGAGTTCGATCAATTATTTCACGTTGAAGTTGACCAAGGATGAGGAACATATTTTTGAACTCCTTCCCTAGTGGAAAGTGAAGGGAATGGTTGTCACCACAATGGACAAGTGAGTACTGCTCCTTCCTTTGCCTGTCATGTCACAGGCCGCTCGCTCAGTTTTATGTGTCCCCGCATCGAGCTCGAAGAGCGAGTGCACTTTCTCAGATGCGGGGAACACATTGACAGCGAAATGAAACACTCTTGGTGAATCCATGGTGAAGGACATTTTGTTCGTTAGATCAAACAAGGACTTGATCAGCACATGAATTTGGACGGAATTTCATTAAGATCTGGATTGCGAGGCTTGATTTATCGCTCGTTTCGTCCCGGACTGTCCGGAATTTATTGACACGGTGTTGCTTGTGTTAATAATAAGATCTTGAGGTATTCTTTTTTAATTGTCATTGTCGATACTGTTGATACTACTTGATAGTCTGATTTCAAATGTCTTTGCTGCAAAGTCATGTTGTCGATGAAATTGTAATGGTGTAAGGGACTGACACGGGCGGCTGCGGGCGGATTTAGGTGGGTGCGGGGAGGAAAAAAATAGGTATTGGATGCAGATGGGTAATGATGTTCATACGGGTGCAGATGGGTCCAGTTCAGCGCCTTATTCAGGTGCTGGGCGGGCCGGGCGCAGGGCTGAAATTTCAAAAAGTATTTTGGGTCGGTGGGGTCATCTTGAATCAGAAATTAAAATTATTGGGTTGGGTGGGCGGTACAAACAACAAATTGGGCGGGTTGGGTTAAGCGTGAGAAAAAAAAAGAAAATTGCCACCTCTGTTTCTTAGGGCACTCTTTTTTTCTGTCATTTTGCACTTGTTTTTTTTTTCAATCTTATGAACATTACACCTGTAACTGTTAGTGAAGAGGTCATGAGTTTGGATTCTCATATCGCCCTCATAACCCACTGTCTTTCTCCCTGTGTAAGAGCGTGAACGCATACATTCA